CCAGCCAAACTGCGGCTGAAAGACCAGATTTTTTTTTATACCTTTTTATACATGTAGTACGGACCCCCAGCCAACCTGCGGCTAAGAGACCAGATTATTTTATACCTTTTTATACATGTAGTATGGACCCCCAGCCAAACTGCGACTGAAAGACCAGATTTTTTTTATACCTTTTTATACATGTAGTGCGGACCCCCAGCCAACCTGCGGCTAAGAGACCAGATTATTTTATACCTTTTTATACATGTAGTACGGACCCCCAGCCAAACTGCGGCTGAAAGACCAGATTTTTTTTAATACCTTTTTATACATGTAGTACGGACCCCCAGCCAAACTGCGGCTAAGAGACCAGATTATTTTATACCTTCTTATACATGTAGTACGGAACCCCAGCCAACCTGCGGCTAAGAGCCCAGATTTTTTTTATACCTTTTTATACATGTAGTACGGAACCCCAGCCAAACTGCGGCTGAAAGACCAGATTTTTTTTTTTACCTTTTTATACATGTAGTACGGATCCCCAGCCAACCTGCGGCTAAGAGACCAGATTTTTTTTATACCTTTTTATACATGTAGTACGGACCCCCAGCCAAACAGCGGCTAAGAGACCAGATTATTTTATATCTTTTATACATGTAGTACGGACCCCCAGCCAAACAGCAGCTGAAAGCCCATATTTTTTCATACCTTTTTACACTTTTTAACCTCGAGAGTATGGACCCACAGCCAACCTGCGACTGAGAGACAAGCTTTTTTTGTTATACCTTTTAATACCTAATGTATTTATAATCAGAATGCGCAGGGAGAGTTTGTCAAATAACATAAAAAAAATAAACAAAAAACGCCGAAGTTATCTCGCGCGAAGTCGAACAACACGATTACTAGCAAGCCAAGTGGGCGCAGGGTAATAAAACGGCCAGGTGTCTAAATTATCAGGAGCAATAATGTATACAAATCATCAAAATAAAACTAAACAGGCATATAACAAAGGCATAGGATAGGTTAATAAAAGAATAAAATGACACAATAAAGTTGTAAAATATCAACACACCTGCACGCCATTTCTTCTTCCATCTTCGCCATTTTTTCCATCTTCGCCGTGCGACGTTCCCTCCTAAACTGGTCTTTTCTGTGCTCAAATGATCACGTGACCTGTAATGTGTGAAGCGGGAAAATTGTCCGTTTTTTTTCGCCAAACCTCGGTCAACTCTGACCTTTTCATTATAGAAAACAACAATACATTTATCTAAGTGTTCTTTTGTTATAATAAATATGTTGGGGTCGCAACTTTTCGGCCCTTTCCGTCAGTCTTCGGACACGCTAACAGGACGTTTCGACCCCAAACCAAATCGGCCCCAGTAGAAAAATCGGCCCCTGGACGTTTCGGCCCTTTTCAACGAGGACGTTTCGGCCCTACTATAGTATATTGCTTGATTGATATTATGGCTTCTGTTTTCTTTCTATGGTAAAATTATATGACCGAATGTTTCGATTTTCACGTGCAATGAACAACTAACTCTCCTTACCTGATACATTTAATTAAATGTGTTAGATTTTTCAATATCAAGGAAATAATTTCGAGTAGCTATTTATCGTGAGATATTTTTAAACATTGAAGTTAATTAACATTAAACGCAACAAGTATCTAATCTTTGATGGTTTACACACTCTTATGGTATAATTCCGTTTTATAATCCCTTAAAAGCTAAATGAAAAATGTGGCATTCCCTTATTGAATTGTAGCAAACAAACACTTTACCATGGGTAATAAAAATATTATTTATAATTAGACATGTTTTATAATTAGTAGGTTATTTAATTGTTTTGTTATTGATACGGACGAAGATAAATAAATTACATATGTTTATTTAAAAATGGTTGTCAAACATATTTTCAAACCCCTTTTTTCGATGAGTGTCACAATTTAAGCAGAAGAAAATAAAAAAATCGGTTCTGTACTGGCTACAAATACTAAAGAGGAAGTTAGCTGGTGAAAATTAGAAACATAGACCTTACAATTTATCTGAAAAGGAAAAGTGAACTTGAAAACGAGTCTGGCGAATGGTTTTCTCTCATGCAAAGTTTAGAGCATTTTTAATTCTGACTACGTTAATACGTCATGGAATGTTATCGTTACATTATATTTTTAGACTGTAAACTACATGTATACTTATTTTGAAAATGTGATAAACAGAATATTTTGTTCTCATATTTTCTATGACTTAATTCATTGAAGTCATTGGTTGAATAAAGTAGTAATATTTTATGAAACGTGTTCAATAAATCAGAACCCACAGCGATCTTGAGGAAAAACCCGGACACTTAAAAGACTGTTGTTAACTTAATTCTGACACTAAGCTTCATTTTAACAAAATGTTAGGTTTTATATACATGCAAAATAAAAGCACGTCCCTTGTTGTCGCAATATAAAGCCCAAGAAAAAAGTAATCAGAGAATGAGCATCTGAATAGACATTTCTATCGTTGTCCATTTATCTGTCGTCACATTAAGTAAAGCCCAGAAAAAAGGAGCCACTCTACGGGCATGCTCTGGAGTTGGGATATCTAAACACGCACTGGGCATGTATACGATTTAACTCTGACAGAAAGGTCCCCAAACTATAATACACTTATAAATTGGTGTTCCTCAGTATGATAATATAACACAGTGACATTTTAAACTGAGATTGTTCTTCATATTCAATAATAAAGTATGTTTTGTTAATCTTCACGAGTATCTCTTTTATTTGTTTGTTGTTGAACCTGGAACTAAGGTCTTTTTACGTAGAATAGTCTACCAATGAAATTTTCAATGGAAGGTAAATAGTTCTAAGCAGAACGCCAGCATCTTTTTTGTATTATTTCAAATACCAAATAAACACGTTTCTTTAATGTCAAGTAAGACATATGTGATATGGTTTTGCCAGTAAAGCATTAAAAGTAAAATTCAGTCGTAAAATTACCGAGAACGGCCATATTTTATTCACGGCTTCTGCACCTTATACTCCGATGCCGCTGCGATGGACCCACCACTTCTGCGAAAGCTATGGCCAGTGTGTTTAACTTATTGTACTTATTATATTTAACTTTTCCGATCATTGAAGATCGTTCAGCACGACATTATTGCTGTGTTTGTGGTATTTTTTAGTTTTTACTTTTCAGCATATTTTTTACTTGGGTGGTTCCAATGTGCACTAAACGAGAAAACAATGTGCGGAAGGTCTGAGGTTATGAAGCCTGCATATCACAGATAAGACGTCAAAACCATACGCCGATTTTAATGGAATGGCACTAACATTACACATTGAAGGTTCCATGGTACTCACCGTATGAACACATCTGCTGATGTATCTAAATTAAAAATACACCATTTTTATGTTTAAATGTTAAATTCTGCTAAAGCCGGTGCTAGGGGGCGTGGACGGTGGTTTGCACTTGACAGTACCGTCTATGAACAGGCTCAATCAAACCGAGCCTTCAACATTTTCAATTTTGCCTTGTTAGGTAGGGATTCTTATTTTCTCTATTTTAGTAACACAAGTAATGTCTTAGAGGAAAGTAGCAAAGCCTCAATACAAGGTTCATTTTCTCTTTCTAAATGAACGTGTTATCTTATGACAATACTTATCATGCAAACATTTATGCTAGTCACCTTTAACTATGTAATTAATCCTTTCTCCAGCATGTTAATATCACATCATTCTTTTCCGTTGTAAAATTACATGTATGAAATCCACGATTTTCACGTGCATGGACCCACCAACTCTCCCTACCAAAAGAAACTAAATAATCTTTGTAAAGGTCACTTAGTTGATCCTAATAGTTTATAATAAAATATATATTTGCGCAAAGAACTCGTTGATAGTAAAATACAATTGATTATACCCTTATTGTTTATGTGTAACGAGCACGCACCGGTCGCCCGATTCACAATCCAACGCTCTATCTATGGAGCTAACCGGACGGTTTCTCGACGAGTTTCACTGGCTAAATTTGTTAAATGACATTGTCACGCTTTTAATTTGAATATTTCCAGTGTTTATGTTACAGACTTAGATTTCAAAGCGTTAAAATTGAGCAAATCGTTAAGAGTCTGATTAGTTTTTGTAATGATACATGTGAAGGTATGCCTTACTCTATAGACCTTTTTACAATACGATTTTTCCATAGCATTCGATGTTGCATTTCGCGCATGCGCATTTTGTGTAGGGCAAAAGTGCAATAACGATAGACTACATTTACTGTACTTGAAGGCTATAAAAGACGTGATTATAAGTTGTCACCCAGAAAACAGAATTTGTGTGATGAATTAAAGCGGTAAGTACTTCAAACGTGAATTAATATTTGTAACAGATATACTAAGTTAGCAGGACTAATAATTAAATGACCAAATGTCCTGTTCAAGGACTTTTTGTTATTGCACAAGGGATAAAAGTCAGCCATTGTTAAACAACACTGTGAAGGTTTTTTTAAAAACAAAAAACGTACAAATTTAAAATAAACCCATTAAATAATGTGTTAAAATGGTATGGGTAGGGGGTTACAGGGCTGAATCTCATTATAATAAAGCTGGAAACTCAACACGTTTTCGTAAATAAAAAAATTACTTTATTTTAGACAAGTTTTCATAGCCTGAATATAATTTATACATAGCTGATTGTACAAATAATGAATGTAATGGCAATGAAATCAATCTTTATAAATAGTTGATGAAACAAGACCATGTTTAAGTAAACATAACAATTAGTAAAACCTCTAAATATGTTAAGTAACTTGCCTTTGACCCATATATTAATCATAATATGGGCGCCATATACGCGTTTTTACCGAAACATTTTTAGTAACAATTCAGTGTAGAAGTCCAGTTCACACCGCATCTTTCCAGATGTGTAAAGAAATTTCAGAAACACCAAATGTTTGATAAATATGTAAAATAGTTTCAGAAAAGTATATTCATTTAAAATCCAAATGACTATTTGCATGTTTTAATTTAAACAAGTCTGAAATAAACAAATTTTATTGTCATAATTTTATAAACAAGTAAATACTTTTAATACATTATTTGATACACGTATTTCTGTGGACAATGCTGCGAGAAAGCGATTCAGGTTAGCTTAAACCGCTTGTTTCCTCAATCAAACATTTATAATTGACATTCATCTCGAGGTGTGCACCTTTGAAATCAATTAATTAATTAATTAACCTAATTCTAGTCTGGTTATGCTAAAATCACATACATGTATTTGTAATAGATTTATTTCAAATACAGATCGGAATTGGTCCTATAATGTTCGAAATTCAACTGTCATTTATTACAATGCACTACAATAATTTGAAGCCTTAGGTCGTAAGTAACCCTCCTTCAACTGGTAACGTAACTCCGTGGATCATCGTAGCTTTGTCACTCAGAAGAAACATAATGGAATCAACTACTTCTGACATTTCTGAAAAACAAAATGAAACAATTCATTTCATGGATAACAAACACAAAAACTATGCCATAATGAATTAAACATTTAAGAAAAGGTAACAAAGTTATCTGTTTCGAAAATTTAAAGGTGCTAAAATATTTTTTAAAGTACTTTCAGACACTTGAAAATGTCTCTAACAAAGAACGCTTAGTGGCATAAACAGTAGACATGAGTCAAGTATTTAGCGACGCCAATTCAAACTAACTTACAAAATTCTATATCGTTTAATGTCTCAGTTAATAGTAAGAGTAAACTTTTACAAAAGAAGGTAGCTTTTGAAGATTTTGTTTTACTATATGACTAAGTGAGTTGTCGGACCGTTCACAAAAATCAAAACGATTTTGCCATCATAATTACAGAAACTTATTCATTAAATCAAGCAGGAGAATCTGTATATATGTTTCGCTCTTCGTTTTGCACCTTATAACTTTTCCTTTCAAGCATAGCCTTGAGGGGGTGGACTACATGTTCAACATTAGTCTAATCAATTTCAGATTTTACTACTTTATGAATTATGAACTTGACCATAAATGGTGTTGGTGATGATAAAGAATTATTTTAAGATTGATCTCTTAAGAAATAAAGTATAGCAAAATACATTTTAAGGAAAATTTAAAAGGGAGATGATTCTGTAATTATGGGAGCTGGAGTTACGAACATTAATTTAAGCAACGAGATGTTTGTGATGATAAAGAACATATAATTAAGTAAATTTGACATTCGTTCACAACACAACTGTCGTTAGTTAAAATATTAGTTTTATTAATGCATCCTGAAAGATGTAATGAATAACTATTTTACAAAATACTCTATTGGACAAAACTATTTTTCAGTGATTCCGACAGAATCCCTAGATATGCTTGAGGATTCCTCTCCTCGGAATCCCGGGACCCCGTTAGTGTTAACTGTCAACTATTTACAGTTAATACTTGGCCATTCTGAATCACCCTACACAGTAGGAGACATGTCGATTTGAAACCGATTTGAAACCCACAGCAGAATTTACCACAATATTATAGTTACATGTATCATTGTTTGAGATATTAACAGTATGTGCAAGTCCAAGCAATGAAGACATTTAAACGTTGTAAATTTTGTTGGCTTACCGACAAACCTCCCGATAGGAATTCTTGCTAACATAGGATCCGCCTTTACTGGGTCGCTCCAGGCCATTTTCCCCATCTCAGTGAGCACCACAGTTGGATTTACTGCATTTACACGGATCTAAAGACGAGAATAAAGTAAAAGAACCATCAAAATTAGTATTTTCCTATCCTTACTAATTTAAGCCATTGGCATGTCTTGTGCAATGTTTGTACATGTACATAGTTATTAAATGGTACTTTATCGAAATTCAAAAGCAATACATTAAAAAAGGTGTTACTAAATTATGCTACAGCTAAACAGTACAGACTTTTTGCCTACTTTTTATTGCTGTCATCTTTGAAAACATGTCATGTTATCGTACAGATATACTGACAGAATCTAAATAATATATGAAGCAATTTCATTTTTGCCAGGCGGAAACTCTGCATGCCCCTCCAATATTATAATAAACTAATGCAATTTAGATTAACAGCTGAGAGGGACAAGTTAACGTCAACTTATTTTAACTTTATAGCCCTAGATCTAGACTAAAATATGTGCAAGCGATAGGGAGTTTGATATATAAGAACAGTACCTTGTATTGGCCCAATTCAAGGGCCATGACATGCGTCAGTTTATCAACAGCAGCTTTTGTCGAACAATACACAGCATGGTCGTCTAGTCCCTGTAGAGAAGCTGCACTGGAGATGTTCACAATAGCGCCACCTTTCTTTCTCTCTACCATGGATTTTGCTATCACCTGTGATTAGGAATATATGTTAAAAAGATATGTAATTGACTTAAATTGACATTTATGCCAACTGCATTATCCGAGAGCTCAATGCACTATCCCCTTAATATTGCAAAATATTCATGTATACTGGTGCTTCATATTTCCGTGGTACCCATATTTCCAAGGTATTAGGCATAAACAGTCTCAAGTGCCTCCTACTCAAGTGCCTCCTAGACTTCATGCAGATGCCAGTAGTTTTACTTTTACTTTTTTATTGTATTTTTATCGAAATGTTACATATATGAATGAGAAAACTTATTATTTTATTCAGATTAAGAGCAAAGTAAACTATTTCACCATTTTACTTTTTGTTTTCATACGTTTTAAGACCATTGTTTTTGTTAAATAACCATTGAGATATTTGATAAATGCCATAGAGAAAATCCTCACTTTCAGACAAGGCTAGGTAAAGATGTACAAAAAAATAAATATTACTATTGGTTTTGCTTTTAAAATGTAATTGCCTTGGAAATATGAGAACACAACTTTACTCACTACCAGCAGATGGGTGTCAATTGCCATGTTGTATACATAATTTCTTACATGCAAACATTAAAAAAAATAAACTATGATGTAATGGACATGTCTTTCCTACATTATTAAACACATTTTCCAGAATTTTTTTCTTCTAACTTTTGTTGTCTGTGTTAAAACAGTTAAGTACAACAGAAATATGAGGCACCAGATATGTGTAGATACATTTTGTGGTATATAAAAACATTCTTGGCAGTTTTTTAGAAGATAGATTGACGTATACGGTCATAATAAAGGAGCTACTGTCTCATTGGAAATCATAACTCTTCATACGTTAATGGAAACATTTAAATTACAAAAAAAATGATACATACCTGACCGACATTAAAGACTGCTTTATAATTGATATCTATCATCCTACAATATAGTTGTGAATAAATAATGCAAACATGTCATTTACCCAAACATAAGTTGCTTCTACTAAGAACGTTTGATTATAAACAAAAATTTGAAATGCAATGCACATGTATCTTTATTCCTCATTTAGTCTTGTAAGAAGTTTACAGTCACTGAAGGCAAGCATGTCGTGTTCAAAGTTAAAGTTCAATAATACTTGTATAAAATGACATTTCAATATTCTCATATAACGCCTGAGACCTTTATCAAATTGAATACTAGTACAAAGTAGTACCATGGAAAACATAAATTAATGTACGTTTAAAACTCAGTACCAATCCAAGTCTTCTTTCTTGACGTCCAAAAATTTATCAATTCTACTGACTCCAGCATTGTTTACAAGTAAATCAATGTCACCCACAGTCTGTAAAATTTCTCTTGTTCTGTCCCAATCTTGCAAATCACATTGAACAGTTGTTATGGCAGGTACCTGCATGGTCAAATACAAAATACAATTTCTTCGTCTTTTTAATACATTGCATAAGAATACAACTTCCAACGGATCAAACGCTCACTCGATGTACATTTTAAAAGAAGACCCATGATTACACAGTGGTGATCATATACAGCACAAAATTACATACGCCTTTGAAATTTGGGCTTTAATTGTGAAAACAAATGCCTGGTCGATTCATCGATTTGATAAATAAAATAAACTGATAAAAAGTAAAGAAATAAAGAATTGACTTACAATTGCACCTTTGTCTTTGTCTCTCTTAAATAACATGCATTTAACGCCAAACGATCAGTATACTAATAAAGTCCAACCTCAACTTATCATATTCTTATCATATTAAACTACATTTTTTATTTAGATCTACAGTAGCATATTTCAATTATATTTTTGCTCTTTATCAAAACAAATTGTTTAAATGTTTAAGATTATTAGTTTAAACAATATTTTATTAATAATCCACACATTTACATAATAAATTACATAAAATAAAATTTACGGATTGAGTAGGAAGCTTGTAAAGCTTTTTTGAAAACTCTCTCCGTTTAAGATTATTGACAATAAGTCTTACTTCAGCTTTCAAGCTGTCTAAGTCAGATTGTGTTCTGCTCAACGCAACAGTGTCAGCACCAAGCTCTACAAGACGCTTAGCAACTTCCCGCCCGATTCCTACAAAGATTAGAACCTTTATAAATCAATGTAATGAGTAATTTAATGTATGACTGTACTGTTTGTCGGATAAGAAAGTCAATGTACTTAAACTAAGGTGTAACAAATCAATTGGGCGGAGAGGACTATCAATGCACTTTAACGAAAAAGTCATATAACGACTTTGGTCTTACAAGACTAGTGTGGCCTTGACCATTGAGCCGGTTAGCCGATTCTTGCGAGTGACACGTCGTTATCATGTCAAACATATTTGTGTCTTTTAAAATCCATTCAGAAATGACAGAATTGTTGACCTTGGCCTTTCAGTTAGTGATCTGATCCATGCACGTGAGACATCGCCATTTTTTCCAACACATTTCTAATATAGTACTAGTACTGTATTTTAAAATCCTGGTTTGTTGATCGAACACGACTATCAATACAGTTTTATGTAAACTTCCTTTCAATTGTAATGTGTCTACAAACATGATTACATCGTCTTAATGTACTTCATATTTTTTGGCAAAATTATTTAAAAATTCTTCCATGAAGAAACAAAGTAATTGACCGGACAAAACATGGACAGAGGCATAAATAAATGCATACAGTTGGCTACTTTAACCATTTACAAGCGTGTGGTTAAAGTATGACAAAGCATTTGGCCAGGAGAAAAAGATGTTCCTCAGGGGGGGGGGGTAAAATATTCTATATAAGTACTGTAAGATTCATGAAATGCAAAAATGTAAATATTCTACGAAAATTACAGAAATGAGCCATTAAAACAAATTGTTTAAACAATACTTAATTACATTCTATATCAGCGTCGGTTACCCAAGGTATATATATTCCCTACATACTACAGTATCTACTATCTAATCGGTAACGAGATGATTCTATATATCTAAATGGGAGAGTAAAGATAACAAATCATGAAACATTTGGGCGTCCTATTTTCTGAAGATGACAAATTGCTATATCATTCCAATTTAATAATAGTCATACTTTACTGGGTAGTGGTATTACAATTTTCCCATATAAAATCTTGTTGATTACGAAAGTTAATCCTGCTATGTTTATGTTTCTAACCACAAACTATCACCGTGTATATCTAGTAACGCAAGAATGTGCAATAACGCAGGAATTGTGCAAAAGTTATGTAGAATTGTGCAATTTAGTGGCTAAACGAGCACCGCGATCAGTTAATGGACCAATATTTTTTATTGTACACCAAATTGGAAGAAATCAATTAGCGCATATGGTTGCTAAGACATTATACTTTAACCTCACCAAATATATTTCCATGAAAATGTTTTTATTTTTCAAGATCATTCGTGAATATGACAGCCTGACTAGCGTATTGATGGCGAATTTTAGTTTCGTTGATATCTTTAAATACAATATAACATACATATTACTTTATGATTTTTATATTCGGTGTACCTGAGACATTTTCCAATCTACTATAGTGTCAAATCACACTTAATTAAGCAGACAAGACGTAATTGAGACCATTTTTATGAGGTAACGCCGAATTCGTGACTGAAGCACTGAAGCAACGGCGGTTATCTCATTAAAAGTAGCTAAATCTTATTTTACCAGCTTCCTTCTATATATTGTTCTACGACACTTGCAGTTTGTCAAATTTCTTAGGTATATAGACTATGAAAAAATAATGTTTTAAATGTGTTAAATGAACATATTTATTTGACGAAACACCGTTTTACGTTTATCGGAAAATGCGGATTTGACCAATGTAAAAATAGCTTCAAATCCGCGGTTTACGTCCCTGTATGGGGGGGGGGGGGCTTTTATATGCTGCCTAATTAAGAAAGAAAAAAGAAAATAGTGTCAATATACTTTACCTTTCCCGGCTCCGGTGACTAAAGCCCTTTTCCCAACAAACTGTATCTCCATTTTGGTAGTGTACTGTGTCTTCTGTAATTCCCGTGTTTAAAATTCTTGTCGGTGTTTAAAATTCTTGTCGGTGACTCCAGATAACAAGAATTTTTGTATTGTAAGCAAATGCCTATTATGATTTATTAATTTGCACTACAACATATATTGCCATAAATCATTTCTTTAATTTGCATGTACTTACAGTTCTAATAGGAGTTTATTACAAATTCCTTTTCGTGTGATATCGTTACTTTCGTTCTATTTTTTTACCTCCCTTTATTACTCCTACTCTGATAACGGTTTATTTGTTAAATATCTTTTGATTCGTTGAATATTTTTCTATAGAGATGAGCTATCCAATGGAAAATACTTTTACAAAGCTCGCTAGGAAATTGTAGAGAAGGGACAAGAATCAACAAAACTTAAACAAATTGCAAGAAACTCGCTCTTTTCTTTAGTAATAAATGTTGTAAGAAAAGAAATTTCGGTTCTTTTTAGTTGCCATTTAAAACACGATTTGAACTGGTCTAAATTATACAAATTATGCAGCAAATGGTAAATGCGTTACCTTGCTATCTGACTCCATTAGAAGTTCTAAGAGTAAGGCAAAAGAGATCTTTGAGGAAAGGTAAATTCTGATTTATGATTGCAAACTTTAACTAGTTTATATTAAGCAGTCATCATTTTTTTATTGACCCAGAATCTATTTCTGTCTGTCTAGTGGATTTGTTTTGTTCCAAATATGTTGGGCCATTTGTCGCAGTCCACTCTTAGTATAAGGGAAGGGTGCTGCTAAAGGTTCTGGGCTTGAGGGTTGCTGTAAAAATACAGTGACGTGCTCTCAGAAAATATTTATTATCAAAGAATATGAAGTCAGGCTCGCACCATGAAAATCTTCAGGACCGACGAGTGTCATGGACTTAAGCACAGCATTTGGTAAAGTTCACCATCACAAGCTTCTCCTTAAACTACACAGACTAGGTGTTAGCTCAGAGGTCATCAATTGGACAAAGTAATTTTTATATGGTCGCACCCAACAGGTTGTTGTCGATGGTCAAAACCTACCATTTCTTTCTGGTGTCCCCCAAGGCTTGGTCCTGGGACCTTGCCTTTTCTTATCTTACATAAATGACCTCCCTGATAGTATTTGCAGACGATACGAATTACAGTCAACCCGGCCCCAAGTTAACCCGGCCCCAAGTCAACCTAGCCTCAAAATTGGTCGACCCGGCCCCAAAATTGGTCAATCCGGCCCCACCGCATTTTCATTTGGTCAATGCGGCCCCAAAATTGGTCAGTGCGGCCCCAAAATTGGTCATTCCTGCCCCAAAATATATATTTTCAAAGAAAACTATTCAAGTCATTTTGTTGTATGATGGAATAAAAATGATTTATTATGAATTGAATATTATTAACTATAGAACAATAGTAAAAAAAATGCATAGAATGTCGAGTTACATGTAAAAGATTTGTATAAATTAAGTTTTCATTTTTTTTTTCCAGTTCATTTGATTGTTTTTATTGAATACGTTCATCCGTATAATTAATATTTGTTTCGTTTTTTTTTATTTATAAATCATTTTCAAAGAATATTTACAGTGTAAAAAAGTATTGGAATATTACTAAGTGTTTGAAAAATTGATAGTGTTTTGTGTTTAATCACTTTATGTCATTATGACTGATAACTGTATTGATTGTGGATATATTGTGCGTGACAGACAGGAGGCAGTGACCTGCGATACCTGTGATAGATGTCAGCATCTCTATAATTAATCTTACTTAAAAACTGTTAATGGACACACTTTAGTGTGCTTTTGGTCATTTCTTTTTTTTAACATACAATAACATAGTAATGATTTGAACACATTAAGGTTTCTTTTCCACGATATGTCAATAAAAAGTTTACTTCTATCGTAGAGAGGTTAAGGTTGAAAACAAGACGTCACCTTATTTTAGCGACGGTAAAAACAGTAAACTATGCATGTGTTGCTTGTTTGTTAATATTGATAGTTTTTATATAAAATAATAATAAAAGATATCATCGTTAAACTTTTGTTGTTGTTTTTGTTGTTAATTTTTATATTATTTCTTGATAAGTGTTTATATTTTAAAGCAAAATAAATAATAAAAATGGGGCCGGGTTGACCAGAAATAACATTGGTTTGGGGCCGGGTTGACTTTTACCGGACGATACAATAGTATACCAAACAATCAAATCAAACCATGATGCACAAACCCTCCAAAAAGATCTCAACAGTCTTGAAAACTGGGAATCTGATTGGTCCATGGAATTTACAATGTAATCCAGATAAATATGAAGACCTTAGTATCAGCCGCAAGAAACATCCAATAACATTCCCTTATAATTTACATGGTCAACAACTAAAATCCACTGAGACTGCAAAATATTTAGGTGTAACAATTAGTAAAGACCTATCTGGGACCATATATAAACAACATAACAGCAAAAGCAAATAATTCACTCAGATTTATAAAACTTCAAACAAAAAGGTTAAAGAAACTGCCTACAAAACCTATGTAAGGCCCCAGTTAGAATACTGTTCCACGGTTTTGCATCCTTGGCAAAAATATCTGGTTTACAAAATAGAACAAGTTCAAAGGTCAGCTGCCAGATATGTATACAATGACTACAATTACACCAGTAGAGTATCTAAAATGTTAAGTGAAATTAATTGGCAAACTCTAGAGCAGTTTCTTGTATTATTGGTACATGCTTAAAACAGATGAAATTGGAATTTGGATTAAAAAAACACGTCTTCCATTCTAGCGTTGATATATACCAAGTCAGCCTTCAGATAAAAAAATGACAAAAGCATGTTAAAAGAGTGTGTTATGAAAATATCAGTAAATCTAGTTGTAGAGATGTAGATAACAGATATAAGTAGCTCCTATATACTCCATTAAAATATCACAAAGTGAAAAATTAGGCATTTTGTAGCAAGTAAAACTTAAGGGATGTAGATTTGATCATTTTATATTATACACCATCAGGGCTTCCGTTAATGGGCATATGGACGTAAATAATGCCCGAGAATCGTATCTGTACGCGGAAAATTAAGATCAGAGATGTACCGCTGACCTCCAAAAATTTATAAATTTCTGTGTTCATAATATACCGGTATTTATAATATACCGGTATTTATAAAAGGGATATTTTTCTTGTGTTGAGGGCAAAAAATCACTATCTAGAAATGTTATGTAAAGATCATGATGTTCTTCTATGTCAGTTTAGGGCTTAGCCCCTCGATAATATGAGAGAACAGGATATACATGTATATAAGGGTTCATTCTTTTTTTAGTACACTGTACACAGTTTTACTCCTCAAATATACAAAGGGCTCTCAACCAGGAGATTGCCTACAAAATAATGTTTATTACGAATGGTGATTTACATGTTTCTTTTTTATTTGACTCAGGAATGTACAAATTTACTACAATGTAACTTATATGAGTATTTAAACTGTATTTATAAATGAAGAATTTACCATCTATAGATACCTAATAAGTTAATTTTGTTCCATATCTTTTTTGCACTAAATATTTTTAAATGCTGGGTTTTTATATTTATCTGAGGCAACAGATGTGCTATCAAATAAAACACTTTGGTCAAGGGCAATGTTTTAATCTACAGGCTGAAAATACATGAACCAATTTTAACAGCATTTCAACCCATGATATGGATTGCCAATCTGTTGATAATGAAAACCCTTGAAATGGTTAATCAGAACTAAGATCAAATATTTTCTGTATAAGTATAAGAAATAAAATAATTGCCACAAAGTAAAAGACATTTTAATACAGTCAAACAATAGAATCTACAATGTATCTGTTAACTTGTTTACGGTAATGTGTTGACCCATGCTAAGCTGACCTGTGCTAAGTTGGTTTAGTGCCGAGTTGATTCTTTACATTCTAACAAAGCTCCAGATACAGAGATTGGGACAGAGATGCACAGTGAGCAAATCTCCCATTAAAACAAAAAAAATTCTATCTCTAGAAGACATAGTTTTGTTTGTGATACCTTTTCATAAAATTTGCAATCAGTTCAGCTGAGCTCTTGTATTATATTTTTCATAGATATTTATTGCAAGTATTGATCTATATTTGCAGGTGTTCAGGAAGAAAAAAGGTACAAGTCCTTGTTTCATCATAGTCTGATTTTCTTGTTTAAACTTGCGTACAATTTCAAGATGACATTGATGTTTTCTGTGGCCATGACAACAATAAAATTCAACACAAGAATAGATATTGAAGAATAAGGAGCTAGCAGGGACACTTGTAAAACTTTGTTTGCGGACAAACAATATTATTATTTTGACATGATTTTTGTTATGAAATACAAACTTGATATACAGCACAAATGAGTGGTTCAAATGGGTGATCTATCTCAAGTAGTTTTATCTAGTTTACATCCAGACTTATACAATGCTCTGAAAAACTCTTTGGTATTTTTCTTCAGACTTGCATGGAACTCGCGTATAAGTTTGCCGTATTTGCTATCGTCGGCTTTGTTGGTTTTTGACATCCGTGTCAGAATTCAAATACAGATTAATTTGTTTTAGTGAATGATGTACATAAACATAGAAAATGTGAATGTGTGAAACTTTACAGTCTAGTGATATTTTTTGAACTTTTTCAAAATATGTAACAAAAAAAGATTGATGTAGATATTTTTCTTTGAATTTGCCTTATCAGTTTTATCCGTCCATAATCGTAACTAAGGTTACAGTTCTAAGAATAGAAATTCAGATGATTAAAGAATATCAAAGAAAATGAGCAGAGGACCTAGAGACTTGCGGGATCTTATTTGTGTTTCGAGGCTTACTTTTCGGGAAAGTGATGATGAAGTGTTCAGTGATAATGATAATTTAAAAGGAGACTGGGATGAAATTTCATTGGGCAGTTCAGGGTCATGTGACAGTCGCCAAGGTTCAGCATCTCAGCAGAAAGGTCAATCACCAGATTCTGGCTGTGTTACAAATGGGGGCTCACCTTTGGATTCAAATTCTAGTCAGCCTTTGTTTGAGCCAGACTTAAAGCTTGATCTTTCTTCTTTGAATCAAAAGAAAAAAGCAAAAAAGAAGAAGAAAAAGAAAGCTTTAGAGACTGAGGTGCCTAGATTTCCATTCCCAAAACCTCCCCCTTTACCACCTCTTGGCAGATCACTATCAACAGAGCAAGAAGTGGATCATACAGGCAATATACCACAAAATACAAAATCAGGCACATCAGCTAGATATATAGGTACCAAAAATGTGAAAATAAATGGAAGTAAATCTAAAAGTAAAAACACTGAAGGTGTTGAGAAAAAATCTCTAGATAACTCTGATGACATTGATGAAGAATCAGTGCCTGTTAGACCTAAGTCTACGGGTGGTCGAACATACCGTGTTACTGCTGCTAGTCATGCTGAAAGTGGTGATTATGACACAATGTTAAGTTATATGGATGCAACAGTTGTATCAGGATGGTTGACACGTGCTAATAAAAATGTTTCGGATGTAGCAATGTATATTAATTCAGATGATAATTTTGTTCAATTTGCACACTTTTGGCTCACAGATTTTCCTGATAGTCAGAAAAGGGAGATTTTTGAGCTTGAATTAGAAATTCTAAGAGAAGAACTTGGTTTTGCTTTCGCTCCTGGAAGAGACGAAGGCAAGATCTCACATCGCGATATCTCGAATCTCATTGGTGCTATATTTCGGGAATATCCAGTAAAACTGGTTAGTGCACGGGGCAATATATTGTTTCTGGATTACTTAGACACATTAACATCAGCCAGGACTCCTAAATATAAAACACTATTGTCCGATGTGAAATGCTCAACTAAAAACCGTCAATATGCTCAATGGTTACTTGCCACCAGATCGTTCACCTTAGTTAGTATGTGGTGTGCAATTGTAAACTTTTATCGGAATCTGTTGGGACGTCATGGCAATACAGACGGCAACTCTATTCCTCAAGTACCTTCGGCTTTCAATACAGTGTATGAGAAGAGACTGTTTCAGGCGTTAAGGCGTGGTTACACAGATGTTGTTCATTATTTAAACGTGGGAGACTATGTCAATTTGAGAATGATCGATAGTCATCAGAGAACACTCATATTTACTGCTGTCATGCATAATCAGCCTAAACTATTACAGTACTTGGTCGCAAGGGTAAGTTGAATTAAAATGTTTGTTATACTACTGACTTTTTGCTTCTACATGTAACTGACAATTTTTTAAGAGCCATGGGACAACTGTTGATATAAGTGTCTTTCTGACAACCAAAAAGAAAAACACAAAGGTGAAAGTTACTGTACTGTACAAATGATTAAGTTTGCTTAACTGCGTTTAACTTGGTTATCGCTTACGGCAGTGGTACCCAATCATGATTACCCTTTGTCTCCAGTGTAGAGCTAGGCCAGCCTGCACATTTGAACAGTTTGACAAAGCTCTATAATGTTGGCTAAGTAACTTTAAATTTTCCATTTTATATCCCTAATATTGATAATCATTTTTTCTGGTTGATAAATTATTTATTGATTTAGATTAATGATAATTTTCATCCACATAAATCAGAATTTCATTGTCTAAATAATACAAATTAGTGTAATACAACATTAATACTAATACATGAAAATATTGTGAATAGTTTATTAGTCTGGTTTTATATGTCATACTTATACTTGACTTTTGATATGATTACCATTAATAATATTTCATTCAAATATTGCAAATTATTTTTTTCTCTTAGCACACTTACAAGCTGTAATGAATTTATAGCTTATTTTTTAAATGTTTTTTTTTTCCCCAGGTAAAACCTTCTATTGATATTAACCATGTGTCCGACACTGGGAATACGGCACTTCATGCTGCAGTCAACAATGGTAGTGCCCAGCTTGTGTCCGTATTACTGAAAAACCCAAATATCAATGTAAATTGTGTGAACATGCAATGTGAGAATGCAGCTCCTCTACACCTCGCAGTAATGCATGGTAGGTGTGATCCAGATCCTATATTAAAAAAATTTATTTCAGAAATAATAACTTCAAACCTTTATTGTTTTGTAATTAAAATATGAGCAGAGTTTAGAAATTAGATATGGAAAAAAAAGTATCAATACTGTCTGTATCAAATAGAATTTTGCTTCCTAATAATAAACTCAATACATTGTATTTTAAACTCTGAAAAAAAGTTGGTAGATGTCAGACCTGGGGATGATTACATTGATCAGTAATTGATTTAATTACAATTACTTTCAGATTTTATTGTAATTGATTACAATTGATTACTCAGACTTGCCTCTGTAATCAATTAAATTACAATTACTTTGAGAAAGTAATTGATTGATAATTGATTACATTCCATGTATAACTATAAACAAAAGTTTCTTAATGCTATTTATTATATACATTATATACATTATATACACAAAGGATTTCCAGCTCATCAACAGTCATCATTTTCACACACTTTTAGTTACTGTCACATCACTTTATCATATTTTAGCATTGCACTTTAGCATCATAAGTTCATGAAACCGTCTATCAGTCAGACTGCATCTATCAGGACGGAAAAGTTTACCCGCAACTCTAAACAAACGCTCTACAGGGGCCAATGATGCAGAGATGGTCCTCAGTCTTCTTGGTGTAGGTTTCATAATGAACTCTCTGCAACAGAAATTTTTAAAAGTGTCAATTGTACAGTATACTGTATACAGGTGTTAAAACAGGTGTGAAAACAATAAATTTTTATATGGGAATTCAAAGAGACAATAGACTTTACAAAGAAATTATCAGTTTTTTTAACAAACACTTCAATGGTACAACAGTATCCATTATAATATAGACACATTGTCTATCACCTTCCAAATAACTGTTGCATATAATTAAAATATGGTAATATGCATCTGAAATAAACTCTAGAATATACAAAGTAAAGAAGTTATCTACATTGTTTGAAACTTTTTAAAACATGGTTTAACCAAAATATGTGAAACAAAATTTAACATACCTTTATGTGGGTAATGAAATTTGAATGTGACTTAGTGTTTCCATTTATCTTCTTAGGGCACAATTTGCACTGTGCTGTCACATTTCCAGATGTTTCTTTAGGAAATTCAAAGACATCATAAATCCAATGATTTGACATTATGGTTAGAATTACCAGCCAAACAATGATGTCTATCTTTCAGTTAGAATTTGGTTAACTGTATGGATTAAAACTTATTTCTTCATTGTGAGTGATGTCTTAAAACATCTAACTATATATATATTTTACTACCTTAGTTAAACTGTAACATGTGAAATAAATCATTTGAATTTCAATAGTTTCATGTAAAATCTGAAAGTAATCAATATCAATCAAATTGTAATCATAATTACAGACTGAATTTAAGCTGTAATTGATTAATTACAATTAATGTAATCAATTTTGAGCAAGGTAATCAATTACATGATGATTACACTGTAATCATGTAATCAATTAAAAAATCGATGATTACGATTAGTGATTACCCCAGGTCTGGTAGATGTTTCTTGTTTCTTTTCTCACATGTCAAGTATTCATAGATATTTAGAAGATGAAATGAGGCTGAAAAACAATGTATCTGATTATGCTTTTTATCACATTACACTGTAATTGGTGTTTTACATTAAAGGCACATTATGCCTCAAAAATACATTTTTATGCCCCCGCCATGTAATGGCCGGGGCATATAGTGTTACCCTGTTCCGTCCTTCCGTCCTTCCGTCATTCCGTCATTCCGTCCTTCCGTCATTCCGTCATTCTGTCATTCCGTCATCATCAGTTTCCGTTCATTATCTAAGTAACGGTTGCACACATTCAATTTAAATTTGACATATGGATATGTCATGAGAAAATACAGGTCAAGTTCGAATTTGGTCATGGTTCGATGATTTTTGGCAGAGTTATGCCCCTTTTACTTTAAAATAATATGAAATTTTCAGTTTCCGTTCATTATCTCCCCAACGATACAACACATTCAACTCAAACTTGACATATGGATATGTCATGAGAAAATACAGGTCAAGTTCGAATTTGGTCATGGTTCGATGATTTTTGGCAGAGTTATGCCCCTTTCACTTTGAAAATAATATGAAATTTTCAGTTTCCGTTCATTATCTCCCCAAAGGTACAACACATTCAACTCAAATTTGACATATGGATATGTCTTGAGAAAATACAGGTCAAGTTCGAATGTGGTCATGGTTCGATGATTTTTGGCAGAGTTATGCCCCTTTCACTTTGAAAATAATATGAAATTTTCAGTTTCCATTCATTATCTCCCCAACGGTACAACATATTCAACTCAAACTTGATATATGGATAAATCAAAGGAATGCGCAGGTCAAGTTCAAATTTGGTCGTGGTTCAATGATTTTTGGCAGAGTTATGCCCCTTTCACTTTGAAAATAATATGAAATTTTCAGTTTCTATTTATTATCTCCCCAACAGTACAACACATTCAACTCAAATTAAACATATGGATACGTTTTTGGAATGCCCAGGCCAAGTTCGAATATGGTCATGGTTCAATGATTTTTGGCAGAGTAATGCCCCCTTTACTTTGAAAATAATATGAAATTTACAGTTTCTGTTCATTATCTACCCAACAGTGTTACATATTCAACTCAAATTTGACATATGGATATGTCAAAGGAATGGGTAGGTCAAGTTGGAATTTGGTCATGGTTCGATGATTTTTTGGCAGAGTTATGTCCCTTTCACTTCGAAAATAATATAGATACATCTTAGGAATAAGCAGTTTAAGTTTGAATTTGGTCGTGGTTCAATGATTTTGGACAAACTTATCTTTCTTCAATGTTGGAAAAATTTTGAACTTTCAGTTTCAGCACTCATACTTTTGTGGAAATGTATGTAGCCATTATTTTGGCTACAAATATGAAATATGCTATTTTCAAAAGGTTAAGACTAAATAATTTCAGTGCTTTGAACATTGTATGAAAATGGTTTGTGTTAACATTGAAAAAGTTTTAAGGGCTTTGAACTGCAAATGAAAAAAATAATTTGTGCAAACAAATTTGGAACTAAATATTATAACATCTGAAATTTTGGCTGCATGCGGGGGCATCCGTGGCATGATGACACATTTCTAGTTTTTCAATTCCTTAGAAATGTCAAACATGTGTTAAAAATGTTATGATTATGGTTTTTGAGCATGTTACTGTTAAATGTTTAAGAACTGAAGAGAGTAGCTCTGAATGTAATGTGTCTGAAAGGTAGCAAAATTTAAACAAAATAGTATTAATACTTCCAAGCATTTTTTTTTAAAGTGCAACAACATGTCAAAAATGAAAAGTTTTTGAGAAACAAAAATTTTAACATATCTGAGGCATAATGGGCCTTTAAGTGAAATAGCTTTATAAAAGAAATTTTTCAAATAACTGCATCAACGATGCTCTCTATAAACCACAGTTAAAAATCATTTATAAAGATGCATGTGGGGACTCTTTGTCATGTTACTATATCAGTTCCTTTACAAAACATTCTCACATGTCTATATGTTATAATTTTTGCAGGTCATAAAGATGTTGTACAACTACTGCTGAAAGCTGGTGCTTCCACAACATTAAAAATGGGAGATTTGTCACCTGTAGATATTGCACGAGATTTCGACCACCCAGAGATTCTCGAACTTTTTGAGACTAAGTAATTGAATTGTAACAACATGGGGAATCAAAGAAGTGTTATTGCATTTAGTGCATAATATACATGTTTTACAAGTCAAATACAATATAATATATGTATTGGCAAATAAGATAGGATTTACCTTAAGTTAATCAATGTGCTTAACATGATATCCATTCAAGGGTATATAGTGAGTGAAAAGTGAAAGTCAAAATAATAATCCCTTTCAATTCTATAATTTACTTTGCATGAACGATAAGTAACTCGCATTGTCTAAAGAAATTTCTGTAAATATCCATTGTCAATAATCTGTAACATCCATTTTCAAAAAATAGTGCCAGGGCAGTCTTTTTTCTATTTTAGGCAGATTTATATTTTATCTTAAACATTTTTCAATAACAGTGTTGGTCAGTCACTCTTTTGAAATATATAGTCAATTCAGATAATCTTGACAATGGAAAATTGAGCATAATGTCTTTTTAAACAATGTGTAATATCTGTGTGTTAAACAAGGCACAGATGGCAAGTGAGGATTTCCTCCATAATCAAAATTGGACAGTCTTCCTGTACTTGTAATAGACTTGAAACATAGATGTATTTTAAGAGGAAGCATATCTAGGTCAGTTAAATTTTAATGGATGAAATGCAATAAATTACTAAAAGAAGGCCTATGCCACTAACATAAGAGCCGAGCCAGCTCATACATTTACATGTATATTGTCAGGTTTTTTACTATTGGCTGATTATTAAAATATATTGATATTGCAATACCTTTAATTACATGTAATAGACTGTTCAAAATACCAAATGTATGGAAATGCTACTTCATCTATCACATACAGTACTTCATCTATTACATACAGACATGTATGTTTTGTTGTTGTTTTCTAGTGGCATTATTTGTTTCCTCATCAACCTTTTATCATTGGTAATGTTGTCCGATTATAGCATTTGTCCATCTTTACATATCAAGGCTAAAAAGAAGGGATATATAATATAAAGTGACCATCTTGTGTTTAAAACATTTATAGAATATAATGTCTTTGATGTTTAAAGCAATGTACATTGTGTAGGTATTTCCCGATTGTTTACAATACTTATCTCCCATGCCAAAAGTTGCTGCCATTTTGGGGGTTAGTATTTTATATAATATAATTGACAAAATAAATTGTATGGGAAAAAATCAATATAAACTGCTGATTTTGGTGTCTTATCAAATTGTTTGATACATTTGAAGGAAAATATTACAATACCAATATGTAAAAGATTTTTATCAGTTTTCAGGAACATGATAGAATTATTAGAGATTTTTATCTTAAGCATATTGGGAATGAGATTCAAAATTGTGACCAGGGGAGGTAATAATTGAAATGTCTAAAACATCTATGGTAATTCACATGTCTGTAAGAACTTAATGTGATTGATGTGTTTTGAAGACATGCAAGAATATTTATTTTATTGTTTTGCTATGTACACTGCAAGTTATTTGATCACATTGACAATGCTTTTATTCCTTACTTCACACAATCATGTCTTCAAGGTCATAATTGTAGGTCACAAAGCAAAACCCATAGATAAAGCAAGGGTTTGTACTCAATTTTTCCCTTTGTCACCGTTCAGATCTGTTCACTATTTTTGTGAGAAGATGTGTAAGAGGCAAAATAGCTCAGTCGATAGAACTGCGGAATGGTATTCTGATGGTCTCCTATTCGAGTACCAGTTGGGCTGCACCTTGTGACATCTTTTAAGAAATTTGTTTTTACATCTGGGTCATATTGAAGTTTAGTTAATCTTTGTAAGGCACAGCAAACATTTCAATGGATTTATAACCTAATTTGGATTTTGGCAGAGGGTTGTAAACAGCCTTATATAATTGTATGCGTGTTTGTAGACTGGACATTTCTGTTATAACTGGAAATTAACATTTGTTTCTGCTGATTGTTGATAATTGTATGATTGTCGGATAAATATATTATAATGTTGCAGGTATTTATTATATTTATTGCTTCACCATGTTGCTTCAAGAATTTTTGTTCACTTGTTTGTATAAAACATAATGTATGTATTCTATTTTTTAAGATATGAAAGTTTAATGTTTTTGCTGTAAGCAGAATTTATATTGAAAGATATCTGCATGGCAGATTTGAAGTTTCACATTTTATTTATTTTGTTTTTGAATTTTGATAATGATGAAGTCCTCCAGATATAATTACAGAGTATGTATTATAAACTGCCAGTACATGTATATAGGTACCTGAGAGTTGACAATATTGATTGATGTTCCTGGTCTTTAACACCCAGTATTACATACATGTATTAAGAAAAAGTATTATTATTGACATATTGATGATATTCACTGTCAAAAGGTAGTAGAACCAAATTTAATTCAAGTTAAAAGCTTTTTATTTAGGTTACAATTAGGACAAGTATATTGTTGGTCAGCCTGTCATATATTACACAGAATAAAGTAAAAAGATTTTGTGCCAAGATTTACACCTGTTTCACTGTCTAAAAGGTCAAGGTCATAATTAGAAGTAAGAGGACAATAAATCTCAATTGATCTTTATGTTCCTTAGTTACATATAGTGAAATGTTTTCTGGCAAACATAAACATTGTAATTATGTTGTTTTATGTACACCTAGGTTGACATTTTAAGTATGAACTACTGGTAGAATGTAATTTTTGAAAGCAAACTTTCATTTTTCTATTCAGGTTGTCCTGTAAAAGCTAAAATTTGAAAAATTTCTTGTGTTTATAGTTATGCTTTTAGGACTTATATATGTATATGATGCTTAATTAAAGGAAAATTGATAGAGTTTTCTTTTTTAGAATAAGAATTCAAACTGTCTGTTATAAGAGTGAATGTTGCTGTAAATGTTGAAAGAACATGATATAATTTTGTATGACTGACGAAGAAGTCAGATATAGAAATTTTAATTTATGTGTGTGTATATGTTGTGAAGCTTCAATTGAATAGATGATTTAATATTTACCATTGTTTGTGACTTCATACAGATAATGTTGTTTTTTTCCTGTGATAAGATAATGGATTTATAAGAAGTTATTGAAGTGTTACTAAGTATTTGATAGTAAAAATACCATTTGACAAGATTGTGTTGTGTTGTTTCTTTTGAAAATGTATAAAGGGCTCTTGAAATGGACTGCAAGACTTTGAAATTGAATGAAATATTTTTAAATGATATTGGTCCAAATTATGGACATCATGAAATGCATTATGGGTAGTGGAAATCATTGTTGATTTATTGCATTTAGCTTAAAATACTAGCCTATTATCTTGAAAGTAGATGTGTGCAATTGTACGAAGTTAATTTGAAAGTTGAAATGACTGTAGCTCAAGAGAAAATTGCTCTAATGATGTATGAACCAATTTTATACTGTCTTGATCAAACCCAGGACCCGTGACTATGCGTCTGACACGTTTACCTATAGGCCAACGTTAGTCTCAATGATGTATCTGAGTTTGTTGCCTGATTGCCGCATAAAATTATGCTTGTGTGAGAAAGTTCATCAGCGTTAAAGCAGTTTTGTTTTTATTGAATTTACACGAAGCTTTAACGGATTAAAAAAACTATTTAAGCTTGCTACTCAATCCGTAAAGTTTTGTTTATTGTAATTGATTATGAAAAAGAGAAGATTATAAATAAAGTATTGTTTACACGTAACACTACCACCAGTAGATAACGACTTGAAACCGAATTATGGAACATTGATTGAACTTAACACAGTGACATACTTTTGAATTTTAAGTCATGCCCTTAAACACATTGTAGGTGGTAATGTGCGTTGATAGGATGACGTAGTGATTTAACCTTAGCTTGAACAACCAGTTAAGTAATTACCTGAACTTATAGTTGTACTTGGGACATTTGACAGATGTAAAGACATGACATTGTCTAGCAGTCAGCGATTAAAGACATATAGTGATTGTTTTTGTTCTTCCCCAAAGTGAGTTGTTTGACGACAGCATGCATTCTCTAACTGCTGTTTTGTAATTCATAGTTTGGGGACATTTCCGTTGAAAATGTGTCAGGAGCTTATTCATATACATACACATACTGCAGCCACACTCCAGAACATGTCCATTTACTAGCTCATTTTGTCTAGGGTTTATTTACTGTGATGCCAGAGAAAGGGTAGCCACATCTAAATATCATATACAGATGCTCATTCATTGGTAACCTTTTTATGGGGTTTCCCATTGTAACATCAGGAAACTTATTTTTATTTTTGCCTATAATACAAAAGAGAAAATATCAAAACACTTGGCAATCTGATTTATATTTATCCCTCACTCGTACAAATCAGATATCTGTGTTTCGATGCTCATTCTATTACTTAGGCCTTCTTAAATAAGTTAAAGGATATTGCAGTTACTTTATACGATATGATAGATTTTAACTAGTACAAGAGTACTCGTTAGGTAACTGCCCGCCAATATATAACTGAAGTACTGATAAAATCTGGCAATAAATCTAACAAAACAAACAAGATATAGATGGTCTATTTTAAAAACCATGAAATTTAGGTCCTTACTGACGTCACAAAATGTGTGTGACCCTTTCCAAATAATAAATATTTAAGTGACTTGTTTCAAGAACGGATGGTCATATTTTCGTTGCCATTTAAATCATTTGTTAATCAAACCAGGCGAAGCAATATCTTTTGATAAAAAAAAGAAGTACACATTTCATCTTTATAGTACATTGTAGCATTAAGAGTCATCTGAATTTTATGAAAAAATATGAGAAATTAACAAAAATTTAGGCCGCAAAACAATGGTTTACCAGCAAAATAAAACACGGCACAGGATAATTTTTGCTGTTGGAGCAATCTTACTGATTTCAGGGATTACAGGCACATTTCTCGGAGGTAAATAATGATTTGTTTTTTCTTTTTAAAGTTTCTTTTTCGACAGTTATAACTGTAACTGTTTTATTAATTGTCGTCATTACTTTAAAAAAAGTTCGTATGTTTTTGAGCTGTTGCTCAACCTCTGATTACCACGTTTTAAAATAAAACAAAATGTTTATTTCTTATGAGAATTGATAACGTTAGCAAAAATGATGATTGAGTTTTTCAGGTTTTTCAGATTTTCAGTCTTAAGTTAAAGCTTATAAATATATTAAAGTAGCCAGATTCATGTTTATTTTGATGAACATTTTTAAAAAGTATTGAAGTAAACAAAGAAAGTAATTTATACATTGCAAAACGGTACTTTCAATTCACGTAAAGTACCAAAATTAGGTAAATTATGCAAATTGCCCTAACTGCGTTACGCACGCAGTAGAAATATGGTGAAAAAATACTGCAAAATCAGTCATTAATCGCAAACAATATGTAAATTATTATTTTAATCTTGAATATTTTTACTTTTTAAAAAATCATTTTTCATTTTCCTTAAGTTTGATTTCCTTGAAATACGTTGGCTCATCATGAGGCATACAGCTTTAAGACTACTTAAGATATTAATATCCCACTGCCGTATTTTTCTATATATATCCATTTCGTCTATTTCATTTTTATATACATATATCATTTTTGTTGTCTAGGACTCTAGATAAACATTACTGATGGGAAGCAAACCGCAATTGATCGATTACTTAGGATTGTTAACACAATTTTAGAAAATAATTTCTAACGCGAAACATATTTAAAGGTCTCCTGATGATAAAATCAAACCTGTGATTTTAAGAGGAGCTAAAAGATTGAAGATTCAAGTAATTATTTACGTTACACTAGTAATTCGTTCAGATGTCAAGGTCATAATAGTACATACAATTATTTTCTTACAGTATACCTCACAAGAAATAACAAAAATAATGAGAAGAATCAATCCCAATCACAGACCCAAGGTTGTGACCCAAAATTACATTTTCTTTTTTCTTTTCCTTCTTTTTTCTAAGTTATGATATCTAATGTTTGTTTTCTTTCTCTCTTTCTCTTTATTATTTTTTTAGGGGAAGGGGGGAACGTTCGCCATAAAATCCAATTTCTAACAAATTGTTCATCTTTTTTCACTTAATGTATTATAATGAAAACAGAAAGTGAATTGCTGTCATAAGTAAGTAAGTAAGTAATTTATTTATTATAGTGACATGTGTAAACATATTTTACAAATTTAAATAATACAACATATTAAATACACCCGGCCCAATGGGCCTATAAGTCACCTTCAATAAACATGAAATATTTACATAAAGTCATAAGTAAATGTATTAACAAATTCATTTGTAAAAAATCGTAGCTATAACTATAAATTTATCTGTAAATGCTTTTACGTCTGTACAAGTATGGTTTGACAATGTATGTCATATATAGATAATTGGTACCAAATTTATGTAGGTCCATAAATGCGTTATAACAGTTACAAACTTTACGTGAAATCAATTTTTTTGTGTGATTACGGCTTTTTCGCAGAAGAAAAATTAAACGTACTATATATATGAGTAAGCAAATCTCAAACGGATGCAATACGTATACTGTACTTAGCAATTATAAGCACTTTCCAAACAAACAACAAAGAAACAGAACAAAAGAAAACATAATTATATACATATATATGTAGGCATATTTATTTTCTGTTAGTATAAGGGCTATAACTCATGTAATTGTAAATTGCATTTTTTAAATCAAAATTGAAACCTTTTATTCAATTCCTGATCGATTTTTTGTATTTTGTTTATCAGATAAGCAATAGTAACTAAATAAACTTGGCAGTTAAGAAACAACTCATTGTAACTCAAGGCAGACTTATTGCTGAATTTTCTATTGTTCGTGCAATAAGGCTTTCCTGTCATAATTTGATTATGGACTTATATGGGTAAACAGCAAACTAGGTGTCCAAATGTAAATATATGAACAATGAACAATGCAACATGTCCTGGAATACCAGGCAGTGGTATATCCATAAATAATGTAAGTTTGACTAACATACACTTGCAACTTATATTTGAGCCGCGTCATGACAAAACAAACATAATGCGTTTGCGACCAGCATGGATCCAGACCAGCCTGCGCATCCGCGCAGTCTGATCAGGATCCATGCTGTTCGCTATCAGTTTCTCTACTTGTTACAGGGTTTGTAAACGAACAGCATGGATCCTGATCAGACTGCGCGGATGCGCAGGCTGGTTTGGATACATGCTGGTCGCAAACCCATTATGTTTGTTTTGTCATGACGCGACTTATTTTAGTTAAACGATTGCGATCATAGAACTAATTATTGACATTCTTAATGATTTTCAGAAAAAACATGTGACGATGTTGTAATTGTCGGAGCAGGTGTTAGTGGATCCTATCTCGCCTGGAAGCTCCGAAACCAAAATTTAACTGTAACAGTATATGAGTATTCTGACAGGGTCGGTGGCCGGATGCATTCTGTACATTTCAAGGACATTCCTGACATTAATATTGAGCTCGGAGCTATGCGATTTCTTCCAGATTGTAAGATATTACACTTTACAAACATATTATAACATTCAAACATAACTTGTAGTATATTTTAAAAGGGGGTCATAATTTACCTTTTTTTTGGTTTTTGACACTTTTAGGATGAGCACAGTTTTTTTTTATCCCCAATTTTCTGGTCATTTTTAAAAATTTTTTTTCGTTAAAAAAAAAAATCCCAGGGTCCGATTGGGTGTGTTTGATAAGGGGAAAACCCAAATGAATTTGAATAATTTTTTCGTTTTAAAAAAACCCTTTAAAAATTTTAAAAATTGAAAAGTCAATTTGGGAATAAAAAATTAACTTTTATTTTAAAAAGTGAAACTAAGGGGGAAAAACCCTTTTTTTTATCTTTTTTAAAAAAAAATGATTTTTTTAAAATTTATTTTATTTTTAAAAACGTGGTTTTAAAATGTTTTTATGATTCAATCTGGTCATTTTTATGGGGGGGCTTGGGGTTTTTTTCATTTTAAAAATTTTACTTTAAATCTGGAAATTTGGGAAAATTTAATTTGACCCCAAATTTTTTTTACCCTCGTGGTTTAAAAAATTTCCAAAAATTAAATTGGGGGGGGCCCACTCCCCAAAGGGGGCCTTTTTCAATTCCTTTTTTCCAAATGGGGGAAAGGGCTCCCCAAAGGGTTTATTTTGGGGATTTTTACGCTTTTGGGATTTTTTCTTTTACTTTTAAACTTTTATTAATTTTTTCAGCTAAAAAACCAAAAAAAAAACAAAAAAATCTGTTTTGTCCTTTATTTTAAAAAAAATTTTAAAATCTTTAATTTTTTTAAAAACGGCTTAAAAAAGCCCCCCAAACCTCCATTTTAAGGGTTTGGGAAAAAAGCATTTTTTAGACCAGGTTAAAAAAATACTTTTGAGTGGGCCGGGATTTTCATTGGGAAAAATTTTTTCCCTTTTTTTTAAAAAATTTGGTTTCCCCGTTTTTTAAAAATTTGAATAAAGGAAAATTTCAAACCCCTTTTCTAAATTTTATTGGAAAAGGGAAGTTTGGGGAAATTTTGGGAAAATCTTTTTGGGGTTTTTAGATTTTTAAAGTTTTTTCTATAAAAAATTTACATAATTGACCCCAGGTGTTTTTGGGAAAAAAAAAATGAAAAAAAACTTAAAAAAAGGGAAATGCCTGGGGTTGGGGTCCCCAAAAAAGGGTTTGGAAAATTTTGGAAATTTTAATTTTCCCTTTGGGTTTCGAAATTTAAAAAAAGAAAAAAAGGGGGAAAAAACCCCTTAAAATTAAACCCCCTAACCAAAAACCAAAAATTTAGGAAAGTTTTCCCGGGGTTTGATTTTATTTTAGCCTGGGCAAAGGGGGCGGGTTTCTTGGGGAAAATGAAAATTCCGTCTTTTTTGCACCCCTTTAAATTTAAAATTTGTTTTTTTATTTTTCATTTTAAAATTTTTTTATTTTTGTGTATCTTTTTAAAAAGTTTCATAGTAAAAGTTTTATTTTTTGTTTTTTCTTTTAAACCCTAATAGAATGGTTTTTGGGGAAAATTTTTTTTTTCTTTTCTCTTCTTTTTAAGGGGGCCTTTTTTAAAAAGTTAAAAAAGAAAGTTTTGGGGGAAAATTTTTTTTCTTGGGTTTTTCTTTTTAAGGGGCCCTTTTTTAAAAAGTTTAAAAAGTTTTTGGAAAATTTTTTTTTGCTTTTTTCTTTTAAGGGGGCCATTTTTTTTTCAACCGGGGGACCCGGGTTTTTTAACTGGCCCAAAAAACCCCAAAAATCCGGGGAAAAAATTAATTTTTATTTTAAAGCAGTTTTGAAAAAATAAAAGGGGCGGTTTTTGAAAAATGTTTTAAACCCCCAAAGGAATACAAAATATTTCAAAATTAAAAAAAGCGACGGGAAAAAAAAGAAAACCGGTTTTTTTGGGCAAAAAACCAAAAGTTTTAAAAGGGGTTTGCGAAAAAAGGGATGGAAAACCAGAAAAAAGCCCTTTTGGGATTCCCCCCATCTGATTTAAAGGAAACCCCTTTTTTTCGCTTATTTTTAAACCCCTTTTAACCCAAATAGAGAAAACCCGACCAAACGGGAAAAAAGGCCTGGAAACCTTTATCAGACTGGCGGGGTTTCGCAGGGTGGGGTTTTTTGGAAACCATTTTCTGGTTTCCAAAAAACCCCCTTTTTTTGTTGGGGTTTTTTGTGACGGGGGTCAAAAGGGTTTTCTAGTTTTTTCAAATGCCAATTTTTTTTCCTTTGATAAAAAAAAACCTTTTCCCCCAAATGGGGGTTTGGGGGGGCAAAAAAATTTTACCTGGGGGAAGCCGGTGGGGAGTTTTCCAAAGGGTTTTATTGGGGGTTGCCCCCTGTTAAACTAAAAAATTTAGTCAGGTACAAAATTATTTTTAAAACTTTTTGGGTTTAAAAAGGATGAATTTTCCTTTTTTTTACATTTTTTTAAAAAAGGGGGCAAAGGGCCATTTAAGGTTTTTTAAAACGAGAAAAAAAAACTAAATAAAAGGGTTTCCCAATATCATACTTCAAGGGATGATCTTTTAAATTAAAAACTCAATTTGGGAAAAATTTTTAAGTTTTCTCTCCCAAAAAATTTTTTTACAAAACCCCCCCAAATTTAATTTAATCTATACAAAACCCAAATTTTTGGGGCTTAAACCCTTTTTGGGTTTTCTTCGATATATTTTTTGACTTGGTTTTATGTTTTAAAAAAGATAAAAATTTTTTTTTTCAAAAAAGGGAAAATATCAATTTTTTTACTTTTCTAAGGAATAGTTTTGGGCCCATAATTTTTTTTATTTAAAAGGGAAACTTGTTAAATTTGGGGGCGTATAAATTTTTTTTAGTGAAAATGGTTTTCTGATGCTACCAAAGGGGTTAAAAATTGGGAAAAAAACAACCAAAAAGGGGTTTTTTTTCGGGGTTTTAATTTTTGGTTTCCCCTGGTTAAATTTTGGGGGAAAATCTTTCTGGGGGGTTATAATACCCCGGGGGGAATCCGGGTGCACCAAAAAAAACCCTTTCCCCGTCAAAAAAAAAAATAATTTTGGGGGGGGATCAAAAACCTTTTAAAAGGGTTAAATATCTGAAATTTTTTTCAATGCGGGCCCCGGGTTTAAATTTTTCGTCTGTAGGCAAAAGGGGAAATGGGGTGATTATTAAAATTTGTATTTTTCGTTTTGTTTTTTGGGAATTTTTTAAATGGGGCCATTTTTTAAAAAAGGGTTTTGTATCCTTTCCAAATCCAAGGGGACCCTTCCCAAAGGTTTTTTGTGTGCGTTTTTGCCAAAAGGGGCCGGGGCATTGTGAAAATTATAAGTTAATGGGGCCCCTTTCCCTAGATTTATCTATTTAAAATTTAACCCAAAATTTTTGTTAAAAAGGGGGCTACTGTTAAAACCCAAAAAACCCTATGCTTTAAAAAGGTTTTTCGGGGGTTTAGGGAATTTTAAATAAAAAACAAAAAATTTTGGTTTAAAGTCTTTCAAGGAGTGTTTCGGGCTATTTTACATTTTCCCGATTTTAAAAATTTTTTAAAAAAACATTGTACGGGGGAAAAATTTTTTTTAGAGGGGAAAAAGGGGGAAGGGAAACAAAAAAAACTAAGGGGAAATTTGAACCCGGGACATAATTTCGATGGGGGTTTAGGGGGTTTTGGGGGGCATTTTTAAATTTTTTTCCTATTAAAATATTTTTAAAAGCTAAATCTGATTTTTGGGGAAAAAAAAATTTAAAAATTTATCCTTTTTTTTTGTTTCTACTAAAAAAAGAAAAAAAATAAAATGTACATGTTTTTCCCCATAAAATAGCGTATTGTGTGAAAATTTATGTTTAATATGTTTTCAAAACAAAACCGGGTTTTTTACAATTTTAAACCCTCCAGGTTTTAAAAAGTCCCTGAAAAAAAAAAAAGAAAAAAAGCCCATCTTTTGAAAAAAAAAAAAAACTTGTTTTTCCACCCCCAATTTTGGGCCTACTGTAGGGAAAAAATTAAATTGGGGGGTTAAAACAAAATCAAACTAATCAAAAAAAAATTTTTATCTAAAAATTTTAAAAATTTCTATATTGGGGGATTTACATGTATTTTTTTATCGGGGAGGATCATTTAAGGGAAAAAAACAAAACCCAATTTAATAAATTTTAAATTTAAATAAAAATATTTTTTAAGTTAGGGGAAAAATTTTAAAAATTTTTCCTTTTTTAAAAAATTCCAAAAAAAAAGAATATTTTAAAACCCTTTTTAAAGGGAAAGTGCATTTTCAAAAAAAAAATGGGGGCTGGGAAAAAATTTTTTTTGGGTTTTTTTTTTTACCTTTAAGGGGAAAAAAACAGTGTTTCGCAAAAGGAAAAGGGTTTTTTTTCCTTTTGGCCCCCGGGTTACCCCCTTTGGAAGAATTTTGACTGGACCGGTTTTTACAAAAGTGATGAAAAATAAAATTTTATATTATTGAGGGGAAAGCTTGGGACCCAGATTTCTTCCCCCTTTCAAAAAAATGTTTTTTGGGGATACGAAAAAAACCTTTTGGGGGCGAGAAAAAAATATTTAAAAAAGGGGCCCCTTTTTTTACCGGGGCCCCGACCAAAAAAAGACCAAACCCTACGGGTTTCCCGGAAATTCCCGCCCCTACAAAAAAAGAAAACCCGTTTTTTTCCTGGGGGGTTACCCCAAGGGGAAAATGGAGGGGGTTTTTTAAAATTTTTTGGGTTTTAATTTCCAAATTTGGGCTGGGAAAATTTTTTACCCAAAAAAATTGGCCCCCATTGGTTTTAAAAATTTTAACTGGGGCCCAAATGAAAAAGGGTTTAAATTTCAAAAGGTTAACCAAAAAAAATTTTTTGGTGGGAAATTTTTTAACGTTTTTGAAAAGATATAACCCCGGAAAAACCCTTTTGATACCGGGGAATTTTCTTTTTTTGGGGGGCCAAAATTAATTTTCCCTCCGGGCTTGGGTTGGGGAATTGGTTTTGGGGAAAAAAGGGGGGACAATTTTGAATCCAAGGGTTTTTAAGGGGCCGGGAAAGATAC